GTTATAAGAGCTTCCAAATCACACAAAGAAGAGAAAATAGCACAGTCAGTAAAAAAGGGGGACAAAACTTTTTTTAGATATATAAATGAGAAAAGAAAAGTAAAACAAGGATTAGTTGGATTAAAAACAAAATAAGGAATGTGACAGACCCATCTGTCTGGATTATAACTGCTTTGTTCGTCTGTTTTGCCGTTTTCATGAATTTCCCCGTTCGTATGCTTTGTTTAAGGGAATGTCGGTTTTGTCGAACGGAACTACCGAACGGACGGCCACCCAGAAGAGAAGTGTGCTGCTGGTTAACCTATTGATCCCAATTAGAACGTTGCGGTTAACCACAGACACTTCTCAATTAAAAACCGAATGCCGGGTGGTCGTCGTTCGTATGTCGACCACGAGGCGGCGGCCATTTTGTCCATGCGAACGACCAGCGGTGTTCAACGATTATTTCATGGATCGGAAAACGGACACTTTTTCAGCCGAACACCGCTGAAGCCGTCGACCTCCCCTTCTCAATCGACAAAAGCATGCGAATGACAGCCGTTCGGGAGATTCAACCACACGAATGGACTTAACCCAGATAGCCGTCCCATGGAGTCAATCGCATACCGAAGAACTGAAAGAGACTTTGACTCCATGGCGATTGAACTGTGCGAATGGGATCTGAGCGCTATTCTCCAATAATGTGCCCTCAGATCCAGGCTATCTGGGGATATGCAAGACTGATGTAAAATGTTCAGCAGTTATTAAGTTATGGATTTTTGTGTGTTTTTGTAACTTGTATCTAAAATGGCGATTGCCTCTGCTCGGGGAGATAATTGAATTACTTCCCAATTATCCCCCGAGCAGAGGGGAGGGAACTGTACTGCATGCTGGGAATATTGTGGGGATGTATGTCCAGAATGTCCCCATGTCCCTCTGTGATTTCAGTCTCCCATTTGGTCCCCTAGGGGAGTGTCCACCAAGTGGGAGACCTGCATAAATACCGGGCAGGTAGCCCACAGTAAACCAGTTCGTGTTTTACCCTCAAAGCGGAGCTTGGTCTCGTTATTGGGGGGATTTGGATACCAGCGGCGAGAGACTGCTGATTTGGATTATTTGCCGCTTGGGAGAGATTGTCGTTCGGTTACTGATTGCCGTTCGTGGATTTGCGGCTCGTGAAGGGAATTCACCGTACAGGTACCGTTCGGGAGTTTGGAGTGTTCCCTGGCTGGCGGTTCGCATGGTTTTACTATACCCGCTACCCGACCCCATTAGTGCGAACGGGGAATACTCGCTAAACGGCGGTTTGTACATTTCAGTGCCGTAGGTACCGTAACAAGGAAGATATGTAGAAGAGGTTAAAGGTCTAGCTGACTGCCTCAATGAATATTTTTGTTCGGTATTTACAGATGAAAATGAAGGAAAGGGACCTCATTTAAGGAAAAGGATAAATTAGTCATTTATTACACGTGAGTTTACAGAGGAAGATGTTCTATTTCAACTGTCAAAAGTAAAGACAAATAAGTGGATGGGACCTGATGGAATACACCCAAAGCTGTTAAAAGAGCTTAGTGGTGTACTAGCAAAACCATTAACAGATTTATTTAACCATTTATTGTTAACAGGAGTAGTCCCAGAAGATTGGAAGTTAGCGAATGTTGTGCCCATTCACAAGAAAGGTAATAGGGAGGAGTCGGCCAAACTATAGGCCAGTAAGCCTTGCTTCAGTAGTAGTGGAAAGTGGTGGAAACCATGTTAAAGGATAGGATTGTTGAACATCCACAAACACATGGATTTCAAGATCAGAGACAACATGGGTTTACTTCAGGGAGATCATGCCAAACTAATCTTATTGATTTTTTTGATTGGGTAGCTAAAATTATAGATCAGGGTGGTGCAGTAGACATTGCTAACCTAAATTTCAGTAAGGCTTTTGACACTGTTGCACATAGAAGGCTTACCAATAAACTGCAATCTTTAAGTTTGGATTCCAATATTGTTGAATGGGTAAGGCAGTGGCTGAGTGACAGTCAACAGAGGGTTGTAGTCAATGAAGTATATTCGAAGCTTGGGCTTGTCACCAGTGGGGTACCTCAGGGATCTGTACTTGAACCTATTCTCTTTAATATTTTTATTAGTGATATTTCAGAAGGTCTTGATGGTAAGGTATGTCTTTTTGCTGATGATACTAAGATATGTAACAGGGTTGATGTTCCAGGAGGGATAAGCCAAATGGCAAATGATTTAGGTAAACTAGAAAAATGGTCAGAGTTGTGGCAACTGACATTTAATGTGGATAAGTGCAAGATAATGTATCTTGGACGTAAAAACCCAAGGGCAGAGTACAGAATATTTGATAGAGTCCTAACCTCAACATCTGAAGAAAGGAATTTAGGGGTGATTATTTCAGATGACTTAACTGCTATGTTTATAAAAAAAATGGGTTAACCCTTGCTGGACCTGGCACCCAGACCACTTCATTAAGCTGAAGTGGTCTGGGTGCCTAGAGTGGTCCTTTAAAGGTAGGCAGACAATGTAATAGAGCAGCAGGAAATGCTAGCAGAATGCTTGGTTGTATAGGGAGAGGTATTAGCAGTAGAGAGAGGGAAGTGCTCATGCCATTGTGCAGAACACTGGTGAGATCAGAGCTCTCCCTCCCCGGTCCGCAGGCACTGTGCGGGTAGCCGGCAGGGAGGGAGTGAGAGAGGACCCGGAGCTCAGCCTGCAGCTCCTCCAGGTCCTACTCTCGCGAGCACGGAGCTAGAGTTCACCTCACCACTGGGACCACCAGGGAATTCCCACAAGACCACCAGGGATCGAAATATGTCCCCCCTCCTCCCAGTAAAGGTAAGAAGGGAGGGGGGACATAAATACATTTATTTTAGTTAATTTTTTTTTAAAAGCCTCCCTACCCTCCTTCCCGCCATACACACACTACCCCCATACACACACTGCCCCACAAACACTGCCCCTATACACACACACAACACACACTGCCCCCCATATACACACACACTACACACACAGCCCCCATACACACACTACACACTCTGCCCCACAAACACTGCCCCCATACACACACTACACACACTGCCCCACAAACACTGCCCCCATGCACACACTACACACACTGCCCCACAAACACTGCCCCCATACACACACTACACACACTGCCCCACAAACACTGCCCCCATACACACACTACACACACTGCCCCACAAACACTGCCCCCATGCACACACTACACACACTGCCCCACAAACACTGCCCCCATGCACACACACACACACTGCCCCACAAACACTGTCCCCATACACACACTACACACACTGCCCCACAAACACTGCCCCCATACACACACTGCACACACTGCCCCACAAACACTGCCCCCATACACACACTGCACACACTGCCGCACAAACACTGTCCCCCATACACACACTACACACACTGCCCCACAAACACTGTCCCCCATACACACACTACACACACTGCCCCACAAACACTGCCCTCGCACACACACTACACACACTGCCCCACAAACACTGCCCCCATACACATACTACACACACTGTCCCCATACACACACTGCCCCACAAACACTCTGCCCGTTAACACACACACTGCAACCCTGACATACACTGCTGCCCTCACGCACTCGCACACACACTTCACCGCTCACACACACACACACACACACTGCAACCCTGACATACACTGCTGCCCTCACGCACTCGCACACACACTTCACCGCTCACACACACACACACACACTGCACCTTTCACACACATTTCACCCCTAACACATACCACTGCTCCTATGCCCTATATCCCAGCAGACCCCAGGTAAGTTGTCAAACTGTTCTTAAACGGTTTGACTACTTACTCTGGGATGGGATCTTGGCACTACTGGCGCCATAACTACTACACTGAGCTGTAGTGGTTATTGTGCCTGGATTATTTCTTTAAATAATCTACAAGTGCCCCTCCCGAGATCAGGCTCTGGATCCGCCACTGAACAGAACAGTGCTGTTTTGTACATTATTTGTACAACTACAGCTTAATGTAAATGTTCTGGTGAGTATAGTCAGCCCCTGCAGGGTTTTTGTAGTAAACACTGTTTTTGCTCCATCCTCTGCATGCAGACACTGAACTTTCCTCATAGAGATGCATTGATTCAATGTATCTCTATGAGGAGATGCTAACTGGCCAGGCTAGCGGGTGGCTCCACCCCTGCACGCCTTCATGGCAATCTCAGCCAATCCAACGCTTTGTTATAGGAAAGCATTGTGATTGGCCGAGATAATCATTTCTAGCCTTTCTGCTGTTTTAGGTGGAATATGTGTCCAATAATTCTCAAATTCTCAAAGTGTTCTTTATAAGTATTATTCATTAACCATTTATTCACCATATAGTTGTTTGTATGGATCATATAATACTAAACTGTAATCATATTTCTTATAAGATGGCTTTTTTAGCAATAAAATTAAATTTTTATACTGTTTCAATAGAACTAAAATGCTGCATCCCCTCTTTTGTTGTGTATCTCAATACTTTTCTTGTCGTGTCTCACTTTAAACCCAGCATCAGAAATGCCTGTAGGCATTTGATCATGTTAATCATGTTAATGGGGCACTCTAAACACCGTAACCACTACAGTACTTTGAAGCGGTTGAGGGGCTATTAACAAAAGGAGGTAATAGTTTCCTGATGCCTAGAAGTGCCAAAGTTAATATTCAAGAGGTTTTCACTTTCCATGGAGCAGTTTACAGTAAGTAATGTTTCCATGTAAATATTTGACCACAGAAATAAAACAGTTTAACACAGAAAAAACTGATGGTGATACAATGTTTTAAATGTTCACTGGCATGAAACATTATATCTCCTTTCTGCAGTGCAGAGCAAATAAGAATTTCTTGCAAACAAGGTTTGCTGTCTAAACAACCACCGACCAGGTCTGAAACAACTGTACTTCCTTTATTTACAAAACAGAATTTCATTTCACAAGACAAAGTTGCATGGAATGTTTTAGGTCTAAGCCTAACAAATTAAAAAAAAAACTTAAAGATTTTTCTTTACAACCGCTAAAATAAGCAAAACCTTTTTATTGCAAAAATTCTGGAGAATGGCTGTTGGTTAATTTACTTCTAGCGCACAGTGAGAGAGGAACTAGACAGACAGACAGGCAGTAAACGTAACATGGGAAAGTTCTAACAGGAAAATGTATTGTGTTTTTAATGCCGCAGAGAAATTATTCACAGAAACTACAGAATGGATAATGAACTGGAAATGCCATGAGAATTGTTCCTTTTCAAGATCTACTGCACTCGTCTTCTGATACTACAATAAAGGTCACATTAAATGGCAGCGAGACTAACGTTAAAAAACAGGTAGTGAAGGCGCTCATTATATGCATGGATCTGATCAGCTCGGAGGGAATAAATCTCACAGATCTGGTAAATAGAAACCCAGGTGCTGCATCACAGGCAAATGTAGAAAACGCTGGAAGGGACATTCCAGGAACCATACGTACAAACATACAAAATGTATGGAATCCTGGAATGACCTCCCGAGATGCGTGCGCTTGTTAATAAGTGTATGATAGTGGGAGAAAGGTATTTTGGAGAAGTAATGTTAACTCCTAAACTTCCAAATAAAAATTGTAGAGTAAACAGTAGACTAAGGAACAACCTAACAGAATAAAAAAAGGACACAATTGGAAAACAAACGAATAACATAAATACCAAGATTGAATGACAAAATCCGATGCATCAAAGAACAGTTTGACATAAAAGACGAATGCAAATTATGTAATAACTGAACCGCAACTGTCTACCCTTTTTTTTTTCTGTACCCCTACTCCAAAATCAAAACCTTTATAAATAAAGAATTTATAAAAAAAAAAAAATTGTAGAGTAACATGAATATATAACATGAAAACACAGGATAAACCAGCAACGTCACAACACACGCCAGTTGTCATTGGTGGTGCAGGAGTCAATGTCCCTTAGTTGTGCACAGATCGGTCATAATGCTCCGTCGTGCTGTTCAGGTCACCCTTAAGGACGCGAGCAGGGCAAGTCTCTGTGAGTGAACAAGAGAGGGCAGGTAACTGTTGCCTGGGGGCAAGAAGAAACAATTGTCAATTGTCATTTTTATTCTTTTGTAGATACCTCTGTCTTGCATCAGTTACTAGTGATTTTTCTTTGGCTAGATCTTTCTTAATAGTCATACTTACCGCTATCACCGTCAAATCAGATCCTTCTCACAGAGAAGCACTGAGGACACAAGGAGTGCATGCGTCAATCTCCGTGATCTGTCAATCCAATGTTTCCCTGTGAGATTGAATCTTTGTTACTCTGGAGCCACTGGTGGCTGTCTGTCTAACAGCTACTAGTAGACATGTAAACTGTAAAATGTAAACCGTGCCTTTTCTGAGAAATCACTTTGTTAAGATAAAAATTAGGTGTTAGCATGTCTTAGCTGTAAAACCTAATAATCTTACATAAGATTATAGAGGGCATGCCATTTCTAGGACTGGGACAAATTATATAGGCTCACAATTTCCACTTACCACAAGCCACTGGCGAGTAGAAATTTATCCCAGGTGAGGTGAGTGTGCCATGGACATTCTTGGGATGCAGTGGCAAGTAGCTTTTATAGCCTGGTAAAGTCAAAGTAAAGTAGGACCTAAAATATGAAGCCCTGGAGGGATAGTGGGATTTATAAATAATATCTCAATTGCACATTGATCCGTACGCAAAGATACCCTCGATTCCATACACACAATGACAACCTAATTGCTCTTGTGGCAGAGACAGCTTTCACATTACAACAGTCCAACACAGCACAGACAAACTGAGCAATGGTAGGATGTGACTTTCACCACGCTCTGTCGGAAAGCAAGATGTGAAAGCTGTCTCTGCAACCAACACACAGAGACAGCTCGCTCCTCGTTGTGCATACCAAAGAGGATCTTCCATATCAACTCAAGTGCTGCCCCCTGCTGGTGCCAGATTATTGTCTAGCACCTTCTATAGGATTTACTTGTGTCATTCCACTATGTGTCTTCATTTCTTTTAGGAATGATCCCTCCTCATCCGCCCCTGCAGAATCCTTGTATCAACAAGCACACTACAAACAAAGCTAAACTTATAAAATAAGCATATCGGAAGACAGAACCTTTCAAACAATTACCTAAAATTACCTCTTTGCTAGAAATGCTAATTTTCTTTAACGTTCTTTTTGGATCAGCTCCAGAGCAGTTGCACATCTCCTTAGCATGTCGATTTAAGTGCTGCTTGAACAGGTGTGACTCTGTACTCACCGAGTTCAGAATATTTCCATTCCTGGGCAAGATGCCATTTTTTCGTACTTTGTCTAAACTCCTAATATAGATTTTATTATGACAAGGTGCAAGATGTCATGTTACAGGCTCTCAAATCTTTTCCGCTAGAAGCCGTTCAAACCTTGCGTTATTCTCTCTGATTTTATTAGGGGCTGGTTTGTGCCACCCTGGATGGGGTGCGTGCTGGCACAGTGCTATTAAATAACTGACCTCCATGCAACTACTTGCTTTACGTGTGTACTACGCAGGCCAGATCACCCACTGAATGTTACATTAATGTTTCAAATTAAGCTAGTTCTAGTTAAAAGATCAAGTTCAGAATTATTTTTTTTTAAAAGCAACCCGTACATTAGGCTATTTTTACTTTTTATGTTCCAGGAAGGTTGCATTTTATAACAGGTAGGTGTTCACCATTAGTTACTCTCACCTATGCATTCTCCGGTCACTGAACATGATTAGAATTCTAATTGCTTTGTTATTGGGGAAACACAAAGTAGTCACTCAGGACAACAGATCCAGTTTTAGATGTGTTAGTGTTATTCGATTTATCCTTGCAGTCCTTATTTTAAAAATAAAGATTTCTTGTAAGCAGGTCCTGGGTTGCAGGATGCCCCTTTCTATTGGGCACATGGGTAATTTGAATCTATGTAAATTAGCAATGAGATAAAGTGTTAAGTTGTAGCTGTAGGTTTATTTATGACCTGTCTAGAATTGCCCCAGTGGAGATTTATTAGTTGTATACATTCAACGTGACATTCTACAACTTCTCTACACCTACTGCATCATCTACAAGTAATCATCCCTTTGATGCATGTTTTCTGCATAAATAAAATGTACCTCACCTTATCTCTCGAAACCAACACGATACAAAGGGCAGACTTTCCTGCAGCAGTGAACTCCCGTGAAAATATATACATGAACGACACCATGCACAAGTGAAGGGAATCGGCACACATGCTGCTAATTATGATTTCAAGTTAATGATGGGCTAAAACAGCAGATTTATGGATATAAATATAAGCTTTACTGATAGAAAATCCATGTATAATTGTACGTCAAAGAGCAGGGATAGGAACATCAATGTTTTGCTGTAAAGAAACAAAATTAAAACACAATAAAAAAGAAAATCTTTGTAATTTTCTGTGTTAAACATGGATTCATTGTAGCGGATGGCACTGGACTGTCCTGAGAATTGCATAGGTTTTAACTGCATTCGTCTAAATGGCAGGTTATATGTGTATAAATGTATTGTATTCGTCTGATTGTTCGGTAGAATCATTCTAACAAATAAGGGAATGAAACTACCGAACAGTCAGACCTCCCCGGTGAGGTGTGCCTTCAATTACCCGTTGCAACATTGTTGCGAACGGGTAATTGACAAGCTGAGCAGTAGTCCTTTGTTCTTGGGGGTGGCCGCCATTCGGGAAAGCCATTTTAAAACTCCCGAACAGCGGTGTTTTGCCATCGAGTGTCTGGAACTCAAATCGGACACTCGACTAGGCGAACACCGCTGAGACCTCGACAAGCCCGGTCCGTTCGGTTCCAAACTACCGAACGGCCCCTCGTTCGGTAGACAGAAACAACCGAACAAGGGGATTCCGGAGAACCTTCCCTAGTCTCTGTAACTGGAGGCTTTCATGTTATTTATTCCCTTGTTCCAGGACCGACCGCAGGGCCCCATCGCATGGAACCCAATTCGGCTATTCTTTCCAGCGCGGTCGGTCATTTTATTCCCTCCATAAATTTCCCGAACCCCTGGTCATTGAAGTGGTCTGGGTGCAATGCCTCGGTCAGTTTAGCCCTGCAATTGTAATTATGGAGAAACTGCAATAATTACCTTGCACGGTTAACTCCACCTCTAGTGGCTGTCTCCCACAAAGCTACTACAGATGCTTCCGGGTTGTTAGGCGACTTTTGGTCACCTAACTGACGGTGGACGTCCTCATGCTATGCATGAGGACATCCAGCGTCAGCTAAAGCCCCATTGGAAAGCATTGTTTTAATGCTTTCCTTTGGGGTTGTCCTAATATGAACACGACCCTCGCATGCGCATTAGGTCATCAACGCCAGGGGAGGCGCAAAGGCAAAGCCTGACGGCAATGGATTCAGTTTAGTTACAAAAGGGTTTTTAACTCTTTCAACACCACAGGGGGGGAGAGGCGCGAGCAAGGATGGCAATATAGGCTAGGCCTACAGTTTTGTAATCCTAGCCTGTAGCTTTCCTTTAAAGTGTTAAAATCCAGCATGGAGTGTCCTTATAAATGCTGGTAGTAGATTTCCTTTAATCAGTGTTGTGTGTACAGTAAATAAAACACAGAAATCTAGGGATCAGAGACTTACAAAGCATGTGGTACTGTCCCATCAGAAGATAAAGAACAGACTGTTTCCAGCAGAACATAACGCACTGTGTCGTGATGGTAATTAGCCAGTCAATGGGCAATGCTAATGAAGATGAGAAAGCTAGAGATATAAGAGAGAGTACACAAAACAAATAAAAGGAGTAAATCATGAAACTGGTACAACATGAACTGCATGAAACAGGATC